TGTGTGGCTTCTAGAGGGTCTCTCCCGGCCGCTCTGTGAAGGTTTCCAGGGCTGAAATCATCCCCTCCCCCCGCTGCCCGCCCCTCGTGGCAGGGGCAGGCAGCGGAGGCGCCTCTGCCAGGAGAGAGAGAACACGCAGCACGCAGGGAGGCCAGCAGCAAAGAGAGCTTTATTCAAAAATCCCCCAGCTTATATGGGCTGGTGGGGAAAAGAGGGGATTGATCATTTAGATAGCCAATACAAGGAGAGAATATAATAACTATGGCAACACAGGAACCAATGATAGACAAGTGAGTTATCAGCTTCTAACCCCTGCAATTCACCCTTTCTTATTTATAATAAAGACAACATTTGTAATTTTAATGGGATTTAACAATGAAGATTTTCTAGTCGAACGCGGGGAAAAGGTTAATATAAAGGTTGATATAAAAATGAGAAAGTGAGTAAGACAATTTGTATTGAACTTGAGAAAACAGGTAATTTTAAGACTTATTTTCCTATTATAAAAAGAGAAATCTCCAAATTAAATTTTAAATTTTACTTGAGTTTGTTTGGGTCACTCTACCCGAGCCAGTTAGGGTGGCTTCCAACCCCGGCTACTGACACCTCCTGATCAACTAGGCTAATCCTTGGTTGTTTCAGGAGACTGTTCCACCGCGCATACCCCTGATATAGCTTAAGGCTATGGGGTATGTGAGTTGACTCAAGAATCTTTCATCTTGGGGACCAAAGCTATCTGTTTTCAGGGTTAGAGGGATACAGGAATATGCCAGAGCTGCTCCCACCTTGCATTGGGACGCCAGCTCTGGGTGTTCGCCCGACACAGAACGTTTTCTGTGCTGCAGCTGCTCCCCCCTTCACAGAAGGAGTAAAGTCAGCGATGCCTTATATCCGGCCCATTTGACGAATGCTGATTGGATAGGAAATGGGGATCCCCAGAACGGGAGGTTTTCCTTTACCCCCTGCTCCGGGAGGGGGGGTTGGTTTTCAGGGTTAGAGGGATATAGGAATATGCCAGAGCTGCTCCCATCTTGCACTGGGACGCCAGCTCTGGACGTTCGCCCGACACAGAACATTTTCTGTGCTGCAGCTGCCCTCCCCTTCATAGAAGGAGTAAGGTCAGCAAATGCCTTATCCGGCCCATTTGATGAACGCTGAGTGGATGGGAAACGGGGGTCCCCGGGACAAGAGGCTTTCCTTTGGCGAGAAGCCAGCTGCCCCTAGCTCCGGGGGGGAGAATGCTCCCTCCCCGCCCTCGCCTTTACCCCGCGGCTGCTTATGACCCCCCCCCAGAGAGAGAGTCACAGCGCCGACAGCCAGGTGGGAGGGGAACAGGCAGAGAGGTCTTTACTTTTACTGGATCTCTACTCCTCACATTTACTTTTGAGTGCATTCTGTGCATGGAGATTTCTAAATTAATAATAAAGAAACAAAAATGCATTAGTTTGGGGGGGTTGTTGTTGGGTTTCCTTTGTTTTGCTGACCACGGTGTACTCGGGAAAGATCTGTAAAACTGAAGCAACCTGGAAATTAACATATGAACAGTAAAGGAGAAAAACTGGTTTGGGTACTTTGAAGCTAGACTGTAAAGAAAGAAAAAGAAAGTTGAGGGAACAGGGTTGGGGGGTGGGCAGGCAGCAGGGGATGGATCGGTCCCGTGGCTGGAGATGGGCGGTTTCTCGGTGCTCTCTTGGTGTGTGGAGCAGAGTCGAGTGATCCGGGTGGCAGCGCGGGGCCGAGAAACAGGGAATGGGACAAGCATGGGGGCTGCGCGGCTCTAACTGGGCACGGAGCAGACAGCAGAGCCCAGCTCACATTCCAGGAGCGGCAGCCTCCGCCTCCTCTTCCTGCGGCAGGGGCGAAGAGAAGTCCCTGCGTCGGGGCGGAGCGGGGGCCATTCCAGCGGCGGCGTGGGGTAGAGAAGTTTCTGCATCAGGTCGGAGTGGGGGCCATTCCAGCGGCGGCGGCTGACGCTGTTTCTGCGGTTCTCGCTCGGCTTTCTCCATCCAGCGGCGGCAGAGACGTGGCGGGCACTTTGAAAATGCTGCTTTTCCGTGTTGGACACACGTGTTTCGCGTGCAATCTGTGTTGTTACCCGAAGTTCGCACCACGCTGCACTCTCAGTATCTCTGGCGTTCCGCAGCCACTGCCGCTGAGTCGAGGCTGCACGGGTTGCCTGCAGCTCCCTCAGCCCTCCGCCCCCCTGGGCTCCAGGGTTGGCGTCGTGGCACAGTTCAATCGCCAGGCGCTCAGCAGATCCGGCACCGTAGTTCAAAATGTCTCTCCTCCCCGGTAACGCAGAGACAGGATTAGTCAATGGTGGAGGGGGAGCGAGCTGTTATCGTTCCTACTGTTTATATTGTAAAGTATATTTTGAAATTGTTTACCGATTTTGTGGGCGGAGTTCGTGCTGTTGGGCGCCATCTGTTGAAGTTTGTGTGGCTTCTAGAGGGTCTCTCCCGGCCGCTCTGTGAAGGTTTCCAGGGCTGAAATCATCCCCTCCCCCCGCTGCCCGCCCCTCGTGGCAGGGGCAGGCAGCGGAGGCGCCTCTGCCAGGAGAGAGAGAACACGCAGCACGCAGGGAGGCCAGCAGCAAAGAGAGCTTTATTCAAAA